AATAGCACCCACATGTGAGTAACAAGGCTTTGCAGGGCTGATTTTACCGTTGTCGTTTCCGGTACCTAGGTCAATGCCAGGTGGTCTGTCTGTTTCGTTCCTTTGCTCAGACATCGTAGCATTGATGCAGTTGAGTGGCTTCCTAGGGCAGTTGAGAGTCAACCACATTGCTGTGCAATCACATGTAGGCCAGACCGGGTGAAGTTGGCAGACTTCCTTCCCTGAAGGACATTCATGAACCAAATGGGTTTTATGACAATGGGCAATGGTCATGGTCATCTGTAGATTGTTAATTGCATATATTTTGAATTCTTAAATTCCAGATATTTTGTGAGGTACCTTTTCAAACGCCTTCTGGAAGTCCAAATACATCGCATCTACTTGTTCCCCTTCATCCACTCTAGTTGAGATTTCCTCGATAAACACTTTGGCAGGCATGATGAAGACATAGCCCTATTTTACCATGTACTTCCAAGTATTCCTGCAATCTCATCCTTAATAATGGGCTCCAATCTTAGCAATGACAAAGGTCTGGTTAACTGGCCTATAATTTTCTGCCTACCTCCCTCTTAAACGAGGAGTGAATCAAATTGGCTAAAGACTGGTCTCTGTAATGCTGGGGACCACTGGAGGGGGCTGAGATGGATCATCCACTTGGCACTTCTGGCTGAAGATTGCTGTGAATGCTTCAGCCTTATCTTTTGCACTGATGTGCTGGGCTCTTCCATCATTGAGGACGGGGATATTTGTGGAGCCTCCTCCTTCGGTGAGTTGTTTAATTGTCCACTATCATTTACGGCTGGATGTGGCAGGTCTGCAGAGCTTAGATCTGATAGGTTGGTTATGGGATCGCTTAGCTCTGTCTGTCACTTGCTGCTTGTGTTGTTTGGCGTGCAAGTAGTCCTGTTTGGCTTCACCAGGTTGACCCCTCATTTTTAGTTATGCCTGGTGCTTTTCCTGGCATGCCCTCATGCATTCTCCATTGAACCAGAGTTGATCCCCTGGCTTGATGGTGATGATTGAGTGGGGGATATGCTGGGCCGTGAGATTACAGACTGTGTGCTGGAGTACAGTTCACCTGCTGTTGATGGCCCACAGCATCTCATGAATGCCCAGTGTTGTTGGATCCGTTCATGATGATTGTGTTGTGTGGCACAATCGAGGGTATGCTCAAAGTGAAGGTGGGACGTCATCTCCACAAGGACTGTATCACTTTTACCGATACTGTCGTGTATACATGTCTGCAGCTGGCACATTGGTAAGGATGAAGTGAAGTATGTTTTTGCCTCTGGTCGGTTCCCTCACCACCTGCCGCAGGCCACATCTAGCAACTAAGTCTTTTAGGACTTGACCAGCTTGATCAGTAGTACTTCTGCCAAGCCACTCTTTGTGGTGGACATTGAAATCCCCCATCCAGAGTACATTTTGTGTCCTTGCCATCTTCAGTGCTTCCTCCAAGGATTGTTCAACATGGAGGAGTATTGATTCATCAGCTGAGGGAGGACAATACATGGTAATTATGTCAATGTTTTACCTGAAGCCACGAGACTTCATGGGGTCCAAAGTCAACGTTCAGGTCTCCTAGAGCAAAACCCAGTCGACTGTATACAATTGTGCCGCTACCTCTGCTGGGTATGTCCTGCCAGTGAATGGAGTGCCGAATAATAAGCGATTGCAGGTGATCCGGCACTCCACTCATACCATTTATACGGTCTTTTGATCTCTCTCTGCCCATAAATTCTGTATTCTATCTGCTTCTCTCTCACTGCACCTGACAAAGGGGTTATGTTCCGAAAGCTTGTGATTCCAACTAAATCTGTTGGGCTATAACCTGGTGTCGTGTGATTTCTGATTTTGTCCACCCCAGTCCAACACTGGCACCTTCACATCATGCCTACCATTAATTGTATAAGCCTTACCCTTGTTCGTTGTACCAAAATGCACTACCTTGCGTATATCCGAATTGAACTTTATCTACCATTTTTAAGTCCTTTGATCCATTTGATCAAGGTCCCTTTGTAATCTTAGAAAACCCTTCTTCATTATCTAGTGTGTCACAAATTTTGATGTTGTCTGTAGACTTATTAACCATATCTTCTATATTCTCATCCATATTATTTATATAAATGACAAACAAAAGAGGATCGAGAACCGATCCCTGAGGAATACTGCTGGTGACAAGCCTCCAGTCCGAAAAGCAATCCTCCGCCACCACAGTCTGTCTCCTGCTAAGCTAATTATATATCCAATTGGCAAGCTCATCCTGAATCCTGTGTAACCTAACTTTACTAATTAGTCTACCATGCGGAACCTTGTTGAAGGCTTTACTAAAATCCAAATAAACAAAGTGTACTGCTCTGCCATCATCAATCTTTTTAGTAACTTCCTGAAAAAACTCAATCAAGTTTGTGAGACATGATTTTCGTCACACAAAACCATGCTGACTATCCCTAATAAATTTTTGCCTCTCTAAATGTCCGTAAATTCTATCTTTTATAATAACCTCCAACAACTTACCCACAACTGAAGTCAGACTAGCAGGTCTAAGGTTCCCCAGTTTCTCCTTACAATCTTTCTTAAACAAAGGTACAACATTGGCCACCCTCCAGTCATCAGGTACCTCACTGATGTTTCTAGATGATGCAAATATTTCTGCAAGGGGTATCGCAATTTCCTCCGTTACTTCCTACAAAGCTCTGCCGTTATTTTAAAGTCCTGACTACTGTTTACGAATCACCAGGACTCCGGTACCAGTATGATTGAGGTGGAGATTGTCCCATCAGAACAGTTTGCTCCTTTCCCAGTACTGGTGCCAGTGTCCCATGAATTTGAATCCATTTCTCTCACATGAATCTTTGAGCTGTGCATTTACCTCTTTAATCTTATTAACTTTGAGCCAATTTGCTGTGGCTCAGGTAGTAATCCAGGGATTATTTTTATTTTTAGTTGTGCTTTTTAATTTAGCCCCTAGCTGCTCATATTTCCTCAGCAGAACCTCTTTACACTTTCTACCTATTTGGTTGGTACCTACATAGATCTTTCCCCTCTCACTCCAAGTTCCTCTGCAGCCCAGGTATTCTAAACCCAGACACCCGGCGGACAACACAGCCTTTCGATTCTGACTACAGAGAAACAGGCTGTTCCCCTGACCATACTGTACCTGATCAAAACTACATTCCTATTTTCTCCTCCCTCTTGAATGGTTTACTGTGTCGTGTTGCTATGGACTATGCAGACAATTGATTGAGTCCTTTTAGGTCTGCAACATGAACTTTTCACAAATCCATGAGCTGAAATCAAGTCAGGTCTGCAGATTTCTGACCAAATTCTCCTCATTTGGAAGTCTTGTAAACTAAATTCTTCCAAGTGATTTGTCCTCTGAGCTACTCCTGGGAGAGAAGTTTAACTTGTTTCTAAACTCAACACTGCTGTCCTTATGAACTAAATTTTAAGAAAACATGCTCCTCTTAGTTTTTTTCTGAAATGAAAACAAAGCTAATGCCTTCCTTATTCATCTGGTCTGTTGTCAGCATAATGGCATAAATACCTTTCCATTAATGGCACAGAGGCCTTCAGCCACCTGTTTTAAGACAAGTGCTGGATTTAGTCACTCCTGGAAGGACACACTGACCTTGAACTATCTTTCCTCAACATAATAGTTGAAAAATCTGCCAATAGCTTCCTGTATTGCTAGCTACTGAAAGCCAATGTTCTCTGGCCAATATACACATTGGGATGTTCACACTTCCATGTCATACAAGAGCAATCCTATTGACCACCTCGTGAATGAGGTCCTAATTATGTTGGCTTGATTCTGTTAGAGGGTGCATCAAAACTATTCTGTGTAATGACTGGGTCCTGAGCAAATGATCTTTCTCTGTCTTTACACATTCATCACTTTTAGCCCTGAATGGTGTTATGTCTAACTCTGGTTACACTGGAAGGAGATGGTATCCAAAAATTTAAACAGGTGAAGCTGTTTGTCTCATGCTACTGCTTTGCAGTTAAACCCACATGTGGCTTTCTCTACTAACGGGATACTACCAGAAAAATACTTTGCTTACCAGACAAATAAGACATGTTATGAGTTTTCATAATGGTGTGGTGACTGGTATGAAGGCCTACATCTAATGACTGGTGAACTGCATCAAATCATTCACAGGCACCTGCTGAACCAACCCATGCTTGCAAGCCTCGGAATAGTATGTCACCTTTGGAGCCAATTCTGCACTTCAAGATCATTTTTTTTTCCACAAGCCAGACTAAGAATCACATTGGAAACAAACTTAAAATTATCAATTGGGCTCCCAATGTGTTGCATTTGTGCATAGTATAAACTATGTATGTTCTATGCAAAATCCTGCTTTATGTAACTAAAAGGGATCTATATGCATATTTCACTTGTTTCATGGAAAAATGGGGTCATGGAGACTGCTAATTTCTGCATATGCATGTTAACACACTACCAGACTGATCTGAGAGCTAGGATTCACCACTCACTGTTCTTCCTGCACCTCCATGCTCATGATGGCCAATCGCTCAGCCTCCTCTTCTCATGATGTATAAAATAGTGCCTCTTTTTCAATTTACCCTATTACGTGGGCAGTCCCAGGTTTGCAAATCGGTTCCATTCTTGAGCCTGTTCTCAATTCAATTGGAAACAAGTCAGAACACAATGCAGAACAGTATAAAATAGCAGTTCATAAGTACAGAAACCACTGGTATGCCTGATTTTTCAAAATGACGCACTTGTATGGGATCAAATTCATAAGTTATGGCACTGTATAAACAAATTACACCAGTTGCATCACAGTGCTATAGAAATTCAAAGTTTCTTAGTGTTTCTTTCATGATGGCAGTCTGCAGTAATTTTGGATATTGTTATAAATCAAAGATTCGCAATGATATAGTATGAAATAATTTTGTTAGTTTTGTATTCTTGAATCTTGCGTACTGTTGCAGAAAAATTTGCAAACAACTGTTTTCTCTTTCTTGAACAGGTCTGAATAGGGCCATTTGTCGCCAATACCATGTCCAGTTTTTTGGAGAAGCTCCAGAAAGAGCCTGGATCTTCGAAAAGAGCATGATACCTTTTGAAAATTTTCAACAGTACGATGAGTTAATCCAAGAAAGTGCCAAACATGCAAGTTCCAAGGCAGAGAAAAATAAGGTAGAAAATCCCCTTGAACATATTTTAAGAATCAAAGAACTGCAGATGCTGTAAATCAGGAACATAAACAGAAGTTGCTGGAAAAGCTCAGCAGTCTGGCAGCATCTGTGAAGAAAAAAATCAGAGTTAACGTTTCGGGTCTGGTGACCCTTCCTCACAGTTCTGAGGAAGGGTCACCGGACCTGAAAAGTTAACTCCGATTTTTTTCTCCACAGATGCTGCCAGACCTGTTGAGCTTTTCCAGCACTTTGTTTTTGACCATATTTTAAATTGAGTTCTGAATATGCGTCTTTACTGTAGTGTGCACAAAATTTGTTTCCAAAAATCTAATCTCATGAATTGGGCATTAATTCTTAACAAACTTTATTCCTCATGTTTTAATATTCCTCAGTTCTTTTTTGCCTTGCTTCCAGCACTGAGTTTGTTTGTCTTAACTCCAGTGCAGCATTAACTGGTACAGCCTTTTGTCCCTATCTCGACTTGCAGTTTAAGAAATGGGTATTAACATTACCCAGTCTGGATGATTGATCAACCTTGGTTACAATGCCCAAAATTGGTGTTAAACTTTTTTATAAATATCTCTTTTTGGTCTTGTCTGAAACACATAATTCACCACAATTTTCTGTTTTAATTGTTGAAAATGCTCGCACAAAGTTGAAACCCTTTATTCTAAAATTTCTTAATTCTAAATTTCATGCCGTGGCATTACATGATCATGAGTATTGATGTTCTATGATGAACAAACATTTGTCCTTTTCTTTGCATTTTATCTTTGCTTTCTTGCCCTTTGTTCTCCTTTCTTTTTCTCCTATCTTCCTGCGACCTGTTCACTTTCTTGATTTGCCGCATCTGAATCTTCCATCCCCTTTTTGCAGAAACAAGGTAAAATCTACCTGTTCATTTTTATTTAAATGATGAACCAGTGTGGTAAATGGAGAACTGTCATTGCATCATCGTGTGCAAACTATAACTTGCATCATGAATCACTCATAAGATTGAAAGATGAAGTTGAGTCTTAAACATGATCCCCCTGCCACATAGCTGAATTTAAGCCCCCACTGTTACAGGCAAAATCTGCTTCAGAATTAACATTGTTTGTGCTAATCAATCTTGCCTGGAGTTATCTGCTGAATCTTTTCACATTTGCCCTTTGTGGTTTACATCTTTCTTACTGCAGTGTGTTTATTCCTGTAATATTTAATTACTGTTGAAATATGCTGTTTGAACAAAAGAGCTTTGAATTCCATAGAGATGGCTGTGGAATTAAATGCATAATCATTCACGTTAAAGTATTAACATGTTTAAATTAAGAGGTGCAAATTCCATCCCTAGCAGATCTGAAGAAATTATTTGTCATGTAATGCTATGGTATGTCTTTTGAGAATGAAATAACTCTGGTTTTTCAGATCCTAAAACCAATTCCTGCCAAAATCCGTGGTCAGTGGGATGTAGGGATTGCTCAAGCTAAAGAAGCACTGACAATGACCCTTGAGGATCGAAAAGCTAAATACACCTTTGTGTACGATCATGATCGGCCACTACTACCACCTCAGGTTGCAAAGGAAGCTGGGGTTCCAGTTGAATTTGTCGAGGATAGAAAATGGCCAACTGAAGCATTTCCAAGTATCAAGGAAAATCTTGCTGACAGTAAAGGACGGAGGAAAAGAAACAGCAGTGCACAAAATAAAAGGCAATGTTCAAAGCCATTTGAACCGAAGACCCCAACAAGGCACTGTGTAAATAGGACTGTAGATTGTATTGATGGTTCTGCTGCAAATCAGTCAATTGACAGGACATCTTGTAGATCATCAGACTCTGAGAGTGGTACTGGTTCCCCTGTGGCCAAGAGAAAACAAGGAGCCTCCTCTCAGCGGACCAGGAAATGTGACACTGCCTTCGCTCAGTTCATGGCTTTTTGTCAGAAACACCGAGACGAGGTTTGTGTTTTAAAAGCTTGCTTGGCAACTCAAGTTATATAACTGTGTGCAAACTGGTTTTTCGTTGAATTCTAGAGCAAACTTCTGCATTGGCAGTGAAAGGTAGATAAGCAGTGGTAGAATATTTCGCACTCAAGACTTGATTAAAGACTGCACCAACAAATATGGTGAATTGTGAAGAAAACACTGTTACCCGAAAAGTTAATTTCAAACAGAAAGCTAACTTGTATTTTGCAAAAATATGCTTCCTGATGTCACTTGACCTGACAATGATTGTTCATTATGCAAAATTTTGTTTCAGTTTGTAACATGGATGACATAGTGCACCTCATACCTTTTTTAATGGTGAAAAGAAACTACAGTTAAAAGTTGCTTCTATTTGAATAATATTGGGACTAACTGGTTGCATTTAAAATTGCAAGTGTAGGTGAAATGTCATAGATGACCATAACTAATAGGAGCACAATTAGGCCATTTGAACCACCAAGCCTGATCCACTATTTGCTCATGGCTTATATTCTCCAATTCTATTCTTCTGCTTCTCCCCATTAGCATAGATCCCCTTATTAATCAAGTGCATGTCTATCTCTGATATAACAAGGTGTAGAGCTGGATGAACACAGCAGGCTAAGCAGCATCAGAGGAGCAGGAAGGCTGATGTTTCGGGCCTAGACCCTTCTTGAGACATGTCTATCTCTGTCTGAAATGCACTTGGCCTCCACAGCCCTCTGCAACAGTGAATTCCACAGATTCACCAACCTTAGCTGAAGAAATTCCTTCTTATCTCAGTTGTAAAGGTCATCTCTTCTTCTGCCTGCTCTCTTTCTCTTCTCCCCACCACCACCACCACCACCACGGCTGTGACCTTGGGCCCTAGTCTTGCGTAGCAATGGAAACATCTTCTGTATTCACCTCTGCACCGCTATTGTACCTGCCTCAGGAGGATGATAGTTGAAGGGTGTTTCTTGGACTGGAGGCCCGTGACTAATGGTGTGCCACAGGGGCCAGTGCTGGGACCTTTGTTATTTGTTATTTACATAAATGATCAGGATGTGAATGTACAATGCATGATTACTAAGTTTGTGCAAAAGTAGGAGGTATCATTGATAGTGAGGAAGGTTATCAAAAATTAGAGGCATCTTGATCAGACAGGGAAGCCCACTGAGGATTGACAAATGCATTTCAACACCGATAAGTGTGAGGTATTGCACTTTGGAAAGTCAAACCAAGGTAGGACTTATACAGTAAATGGTAAGGTCCTGAGGAGTGTTGTGGAACAGAGGGACCTCGGAGTACAAGTACATAGTTCGTTGAAAGCGGCGTCACAGGTAGACAGGGTGGTGAAGAAGGCATTTAGCATGCTGGCCTTCATCGGTTGAAGCATTGAGTACAGGAGTTGGGATGTTATTGTTACAGTTGTATAAGTTGTTGGTGAGGCCGCACTTGGAGTATTGTGTACAGTTTTGGTCACCCTCTTATAGGAAAGACTTAGTAAAACTGGAAAGTATGCAATGAAGATTTATGAGGATGGTGCCAGAACTTGTACACCTGAGTTATAGGGTGAGGTTGGCCAGGATAGGACTTTATTCCTTGGGATGTAAGAGAATGAGGGGTGACCTTTTTGAGGTGTATAAAATCATGAGGGGCATAGGCAGGATGAATGCATATAGTCTTTTTCCCATGGATGGGGAATTGGAAAAACTAGAGGGCATAGGTTTAAGCTGAGCGGGGAAAGATGTAAGAAGGACCTGAGGGGCAACTTCTTCACACAGAGAGTGGTGCATATATGGAATGGGCTGCCAGAGATAGTGGTTGAGGCAGGTACAATATCAACATTTGAAAAACATTTGGATAGGTACATGGATAGGAAGGGTTTAGATGAATATGGACCAAATGTGGGCAGTTGGAACTAGATGAGTGGGCACCACTGTCAGCATGGACCAGTTTGGGCTGAAGGGCCTGTTTCCATGCTGTATCATGCTATGAATCTACTCTAGACTCTAAATCATTGATATAAGTAACAAACAGGAATGGATCCAGCACTGACCCCTGTGGCAGCACCACTAGTCACAGGCCTCTTCCAGTCTGACAAACATCCCTCCACTATTACTCTTCGCTTCCTACCATCAAGCCAATTGTGTATCCAATTTGTCAGCTGTCCCTGAATTCCATGCAATGTAACCTTCCAGAGCAGCCTACCATGTGGAACCTTATCAAAGGCCTTACTGAAACCCATATAGACCACGCCTGCTGCCTTGCCCTCATCCACCTTCCTGGTCTCTTCTTCAAAGAACTCTTAACAAATTTGTGAGGCATGATCTCCCATGCACAAAGCCATGCTGACTATTCGTAATCAAACCCTGTCTTTCCAAATGTACGTATATCTTATCCTTCAGAATCTTCTCAAGTAACTTACCTACCACAAGTGTTAAGCATACTTGTCTATAATTCCCAGATTTTTTTCTTTGCAGCCCTCCTTGAATAAGTGCACAACATTCGCTACCCTCCAGTCTTCCGGGACCTCACCTGTGGCTAACGATGATGCAATACATTAGCCAGGGCCCCCACAATTTTTTCTCCAGTCTCTTGCAGGGTTCTTGGATATATCTGGTCGAGACTAGAAGATTTATCCACCTTCATACATTCAGATACTTTTAACGCCACCTCTACTGTGATATGGAGTGTCCCCAAGATATGACCACTAACTTCGCAAGTTCCCAAGTCTTCATGTCTTTCTCCGCAGTAAATGCAGAGGAGAAATATTAATTGATGACCTCGCCCATCTCCTGGGGTTCCACACATGTCCACTTTGGTCCTTGAGGAGTCCTGTTCTCTCTCTAGTTATTCTTTTTCCTTTAATATACTGAAAGAACCTCTATGGATTTACCCTAATCTTCTCAGCCAAAACTATCTTGTGCCCATTTTTTGCCTTCCTGATTTCCTTCTTCAGTAAACTCGTGTATCCCCAAAATACCTCCAGGGATTCCCTGTACTTGAGCCATGCCTTCTTGTTTTCTGGTCAGAGTCTCAATATCTCTTGTCATCCGGGATTCCCTACGCCTGCCAACCTTGCCCTTCACCCTCACAGGAGCATATAGACCTTGAACTCTAGCTATCACACATTTAAAGGTCTCCCACTTGCCTGAGGTCCCTTTGCCTGCAAACTACTCCAGTCAGCCCCTGCAAGCTCCTATCTAATCCCATCAAAATTTGCCTTGCCCCAATTTAGAACTTGAACCTGTGGACCAGTTTTGTCCTTTCCCGTAACTATTTTAAAATTAATAGAACTGTGGTCACTGGTCCCCTACTGTCACCTCAGTCACCTGTTCTGCCCTATTTCCCAAGGGTATGTTGAGGTTTGCCCCTTCCCGCATAGGACCCTCCATGTAGCACTTGAGGAAACTTTGCTGAACACCCTCCACAAATTCCACCCCATCTAAGCCCTTAACATTATGACAGTCCCAGTCTGTGTTAGGAAAATTTAAAATACCAACTATGACAACCCTATTGCTCCTGCAAGTCACCCCACCCTCCCTCTATTTTGTTCTTCTAATTCCCTTTGACTATTTGGGGGCCTATAGTACAATCCCTATAACGCCACCATCCCCTTCTTATTTCTTAGCTCCACCCACAAAACCTCACTAGATGGCCCCTCAGTTATTTCATCTCTGACTACTGCTGTGATACTCCCCTTAATCAAAAATGCAACATTCTCTCTCCTCCTCCCCGCCCCCCCCGCTCCCCTCTTTCTAAGTCATTACCGGAGTCTCTGAAGTAATAGTCTAGCGATAATACTACTAGGCCATTGCTTCCTCCTATTCTTTTGTCCTCTCTTCCAAAATAAACAACTTTGCATTTTCCCATGTTTATGTTCCATTTACCAACTTTTTGCCCACTCACTTAACCTATCAGTATATCTCTGTAAACTGTTTGCATCCTTTTTGCAACCTGCCTTTTCACTTTATTTGTTGTTTGGCTACAGTATGTTGACTTCGTTCCTCTAAGTCATTAATATGAATTGCAGCCCCAGTACTGATCTCTTGGCTTCGGATTGAGCTATTCACTTTCTATCCCAGTGAAGAATTCTGTCACATCATGGTTTCCTTTTCCTAAAGGACCACGCTCAACAAGATCAATAATAAACCCTTTCTCAGTGAATGAAACCAAATCTAAGATAACCTGTTCCATCATTCGTTCCTCAACATACTGGTCTTCAAAACAAATTTACACACATCCCAGGAATTCATCTGTCACAGTGTTTATGCAAGTGTAGCTTGCCTCATATCTCTACAGATAAAAATAATCCATGATTACTGTATTACCCTTGTTGCATGCTTCTGTAATTTCCTATTTAGTGCCATTTGCCATCTTAACACCACTGTTGGATGCCCATAGCAACTCCTACAAATGTTTTCCGTATTTTAGTGACTGTAGCACTAATCCTCAAGTAAGGAGGGAGACAAAACCAGGAACGACAGGTCAGTTTGCCGGACATCAGTCGTCAGAATTCAGTTCAAAAATACTCCACTGACTGTAAAGCATGTGGGACATCCTGATGTAGTGAAAGGTACTATATAATTCCAAGTCTTTAACATTGAGAGATATGGGCCATTGGGTTTAACTGTAGCAGTAGATTTATTGCTGGGTGTTGAAGGTCTGGGAATTCAGGATATCACATTTTGATGGATCAGATGGTTTCTGCAATTAGAATCAATTTTAATGAAATCTTGTCTCTCCTGGGAAATTAGACAATGTTTTGAGAGAGTCATCTTTTTCATCAAAAACTGTAAGCAAAATGATCAAACTAAAGTGGAGCCAGTGGTGTACTAGTAATGACACTCAACTTGTATTCCAGAGGTCCAGACTAGCATTCTGAGAATATGGGCTTGAATCCCACCTTGGCATTCATTCCACAAAAAATTGTTTTAAAATAAAGTCTAATAGCAAGCATGTTACCACTGTCAATGGTGATAAATACCAGCCTGGTTCACTCATGCCCTTTTAGGGAAGAAAATCTACCATCCTTAATTGGTCTGACTTCCAAGTGACTCCAGACCCACTGGTTCACTCTTTGAAATGGCAAAGCATGCCACTTAGTTGAAGGGCACTTAGGGATGGGCAACAAATGCTGACCTTGCCAGCAATATCTTCATCCCATAACAGATGAAACTAAATTAATATTGCACAATTCGTCCGTGTTTCCCATTGCTCTCCATAACTTCAGTTCATCATGAAGAAGGGCTGCATATATGATCTCTTCTGTTTATGCTGTTTCATATATTGTACAATAAAGTGATAGACCGCTCAACACAGCAAGGGCTAGTAGGTATTTTCATTCTTTGGTTTATTACATTTGGGTGAACTGATTAAGAATGAAACTTTTGTGTTTTCCTCCATCTTTGGTGCAGTTAAATGTACGTTTTAGGCTTTTATGAATATTTTACATTTTGTTTTGTAAGTCTGTTGTGCTTCTAAACTGGACCCCAGCATTTTTATCAGCTCAGTTTGGCTTAATGCTGTACAATTAATTATTCCAAAACATCAAGTTAATTCCTTTTTAACTTTTAGGCATAAATCTGTTGTTTGATATAAATGAGTTTTAAAATCCCAAAAATATGATGCTTGGTTTGTGTAAATTAATTGGTTTAGAGAGAGTTAAAAATCTGACCCTCAGTTTCAAATCTAAAATCTGCAAATATTTGTAAAATGACAAAATATGAGCTGACCTGCCCTCTCCTTGAGCACTAAACTTATAAGATTCTTATTTTTCTGAATGAGTCCTTAATTCTATTGTTTTATGAGTGTAGTGTTTATTCATGCTGTCAGCCTCCTCTCCCTCATCTTAATTCTTGCCATTCTTTTAGAATGCAAACTGAAGATGTCAGCAAAGAAATGACAATTTTAGTTTGGCTTTTATGATGGCTGGTCAACCTTACAAGATGGATTTCTTTTCCCAATTCTCTCTCTATCTACTCATCAAGACAGGTTGAGAAACTTAGGTACTACTACTAGTGTGACTGTTCCTTGGGCACTAATCTAGACAGTGATTCACCATGGCCATCATCACAGATAAACCTGATCCTGTCCTTGTGCAATGCCCTGACACCTGTATTTTACACCAAGATTCTTGCTCGGCGATCTGCAGTGAAAACCACAGTTAATTTCTTTCTTTCTATCTGAATTCATTCTTTCTCTTTTTGTTTGGGGACAGTGTATACTAGGAATGGCATCTTCAACCTTTCTGTTTTGAGTAATTTGGTTCCTGTTCTGTATACTTTGTTTATACATCAGTATTATTGGGTATGGTGCTGTTCATGAGCTGTTGGCTTGGTTTATAGCTCTGTGTGCTGCTGCCTGGTGTTCATTTTACCTTTCCATTGGATTGTAAGATCAAGGCTGTTAATTTATGTTGAGAAATGTAATTATCGTGCAGCACATGTGGTGTCTTGAAACTCCGGTGTCTCTGCATTGATTAGAAGCAAAATGTTACCTGCAAATGATATTTTATAAGTATATTTGTGATGTTCAAACTTTCAGAAATGTTTTTGTTTCTGCATTATTTTGAGTAATCGGTATGAATCTTCTTTATCAATCAAGATTGTATTGTTTACAATCCAGAATAAAATATTCTGACATGCTTCTACATTTGCAGCTGGCTGAGGAGCATCCAGATGCTGCTGCTGAGGAGATTGAAGAGCTGCTGGAATCTCAGTGGGCTATGCTTAGTGATAAACAGAGAGCACGTTACAATACCAAGTTCTCTCTAGTAACCCCAGTAACTGAACATAAATCTCCTGTTTTGAGTTCAGGTAAGTGTAAACTATCAGTTGAACTCTTTGAGGTCTTGCTCTGCAAGAGCTGGGCACTGCTTCAAATATAAGGTGGTAGTTTTAGGGGTATTGATTGGTTTGGGAGTTGCCCAGATGACTGTGGAAGAGCTGAGGTGGCTTCCAGTTGCTGAGGTGAACTGGGCAGAAAGCCTGTCTCAAGGCTTCAACACCATTGCCAATAATCAAAATAAGAGGGTAAAATGTAAAACATTAATCTCGACTTCACTGCAAAAAGTCACCATGGCTTGGTGCAACTTCTGCAAAGGAAGTACATGTTTCCGTCCACCGTTCTTAGCACGTCAACTGGCCTAGTATCACAAGGGGAGAGGGCAGGAAAATAGACATGAGGTATATCAGCCATGATCCTATTGAATGGCCTACTCCTGTTTCTTTTCTTTTTTGAAAAAAAAAGGTTGTAGATCTGTTCTGCCACTCGGAGATCGTGGCTGCTGTGATAATCCTCAACTCCACTTGCCTACCTTTTCCCTACAATACTTGATTCCCTTACCATCTTGAATATACTTACCAACCCAGCCTCATAGCATTCTGTGGCTCACACTTGTGAAAGCAGGTCTTGATTTCTTTGCTGTCCCAGACTACTACTGATAGGTTGGACAACTGCAAGGGTTTTGTGTGTAAACAGTGCATAATCTCTTCCAGTTATTGAGCCCAGATATCACTTGACACCAATCCCAACGTCAAGGTCCTGGATTGTATCTGCAGTTCTATGTTAGCTCTCCAAAGGGGTGTACTGGCTGCCTAAAAGAAAGTGCTTGAGAACTGCCCTACTGTTTTCTAGTCTAATCTCTACACCCTAGGTTCCAGGCACATGGGACTCCACGAGCTGACTTGATCAAGGCATGACTGTTCTGTATTATTTTTTTACAATCCAGATTAAAGATGAAATTTACTGCACACAAATATCATAAAGTTCAGTTATTCTCTCTGCACCCTACTGATACCAATGGCTTTGCTTGTTGTCTCAAGTTTTTTTTGCACTGTATAAAGCGATTGGAAGCTAATCATGGCGGGGAGTTTTTAACAAATAGCTCAAAATATGAATTCAGAATGTTTGTTTGTATTCAGACCAGTATATTTTTCTTCTGTCATACTGTTCCAATAGATTTTTCAGCTAGTTCTCCTGGGCCAACCAGATGCAAAGTTCTACACGAATCTCCAAAAAGAACAACTAGATCTAGTGGTAGGTCAAAGGATACATTTGCTACAGTTATTTGATTTGCATGTGATTGTCAACTTTGTTGAAAGTTTTAAAGCTAATGTTGAACTTCCACATCTGTCTGGACTTGCTGGCATAATGATAGTAATTTTATAAATTATAACTAGCTGATATTTTGCTTGACCATATTAGTTGCTTGTTCAGTTGTAGGAATGCTGTCAGGTAGGGGAGGTGATGGCCTAGTGGTATTATGACTGGACTGTTAATTCAGAGACCCAGATAAGGTTCTGGGCACCCAGGTTTTAATCCCACCACAGCAGATGGTGGAATTTGAATTCAATAAATGTCTGGAATTAAGAATCTAATAATTACTGTGAATCCGTTGTCGATTTTCAGAAAAACCCATCTGGTTCACTAATGTCCAGGAAAGAGAACTACTATCCTTACCTGGTATGGACTACATGTGACTCCAGACCTGCAGCAGTGTGGTTGACTCTTAACAGCCCTCTGGGCAATTAGGGATGGGCAATAAATGCTGCCTAGCCAGTGACGCCCTCATCCCATGAATGAATAAAGGAGGTGGGGACAGCATGATTCAGGACCAGGTGACCATATCATTTCTTTAGTACCTTAGTGATATAGGGCTTGAGGACCAATTAGCAGCATGTTTGACTGTTTATCCCATTGAGAGAGAATGAGGTACATGTAAGGAATCCTATGAACCTGAAAACAAAACTCAAATTTGGAAGCAAACTTCAAAGGGTACTGCTTTGAGAGTATTTCAGGGGGCTGTGATTTTGCTTTCAGAAGGGTCCCAATCCGAAACATCAACTCTCCTGCTCCTCCAATGCTGTCTGGCCTGCTGTGTTCTTCCAGCTCCACAATGTATTGTCTCTGACTCCAGCATCTGCAGTCCTTACTATTTCTTGCAGGTGATTATGTTCCCTTGTAACTTCTGCCCTTGTCCTTCTAGGTGGAAGTGGTTGTGAGTTTCCAAGGTGCTGTCCAAGGATCTTTGGTGCATCTTATAAATAGATGCTACTACTACTGAGCGTTGGTGGTGGAGGTAGTGGATGCTTGTGGATGTGTTGTCAGTCAGGCAGGCTGCTTTGTCCTGGATGGCATCAAGCTTCTTGAGTGTAATTGGAGCCACAGCCATCCAGGTAAGTGGGGAGTATTCCATCACATCCCTGACATGTACCTTGTGGATGATGGACAGGCTTTGGGGATTCAGGAGATTTATTTACTCGCTGTAGTATTCCTAGCCTCTGACCTGCTGTTGGAGCCACTCTGTTCATGCACTGAGTCCAGTTGAATTTCTAATGTAGATTAGCGTTTTGGTGCATGAAACTTTTTAGTTGTCTTCTCTCTTTTTCTTCCTGATCTGCAGTTATATGCAGGACTGCTTGTGCTCCTGTCTGGTATTTGCTGTGGGACAAATTGCTCTTAACTCCGGACAATAGTCAGTTCGGAGGAGCTATACCATTTGCAGGAAAAAAAATTGGATTAAGAAACAATTGTCCAAGCCATATAGTCTAAATTGAGCTCAATGTTCTTGAGTTGGGACTGTAATTTCCAGAAGGTGACTCATTGGGTGTAAATATAGGTTTTTTCAATGTTTTGCTTTTGCTGGTATTTTCAGATTTTTTTCCCCTTTTTAAAGAAGAGAGGCAGGAAACTATAGGCTGGTTGGCTGGTTAGCTTGGCATTTGTCATGGTGAAGATATTCGAGTCAATCATTTAAATAGATATTAAATGCACACTTCAAAAAACTCAATGTAATCAGGAAGAGTCAGTATGACCTTGTCAAAGGCAAATCATGTTAACCAGTTTATTGGAGTTCTTTGAAGGACTAACATGCGCTGTGGATAGAGGAGCCTGTAAGCGTACTACACTTGGATGTCCAGAGGTCATTTGATAGGTAGCACATCAAAGGAAATTAAAAAGCCATGCGTTGGGTAGACCGTGTTAAAATGGATAGATAATTGGCTGGCAGGAAACAAATGAATAAATGGTTTTGTCTGATTGGCAGGATTTTTTAAAAATTCATTTTGTGGGTTGTGGGCGTCGTTGGCTGGCCTGCATTTATTGCCCACCCCTAGTTACCCTTGGGGGTAAGGTTTTTTTCCCATTCGTGGGATGAGGGTGTCGTTAGCAAGGCAGCATTTATTGCTCATCCGTAATGCCCAGAGGGCAGTTCAAAGTCAACCACATTTCTAAGGTTTTGGACTAGATTTGTAGCTCGGGTTGTAGATGTTGTGGATGGTTGGCTCGCTGAGCTGGTTCTTTGTTGTTCTGCAGATGTTCCATTACCCTGCTGGGTAACATCATCAGTGCAGCCCCCAATGAAGCACTGTTATGTTTTCCTGCCTGGTATTCAAACTCTGGTGTCCGTTGAGCTGGATTACCTCACTTCTGGTTTTCCTTCGCAATGGAGTGTATGTGGGGTCGAGTTCTATGTGTTTGTTGATGGCTTTCTTCGTGGAGTACCAGGCTTTTAGGAACTCCCGTGCCTGTCTTTGCTTTGGTTGTCCCAGGATCTTGGTGTTGTCCCAATCAAATTGGTGGTTCTCCTTATCCATGTGAATAGAGATGAGTTAGTATTGATCATGTCTTTTTGTAGCCAATTGGTGTTCGTGTACCCTTGTTGTTGTTAATTTCCTTCTCGTTTGTCCGATGTAGTGTTTGTCACAGTCTCTGCAGGGAATCTTGTATATGACATTGGTCGTGTCCATAGTGGGTAACGGGTCTTTGATTTGGGTGAGCAGTTGTCGTAGGGTTGATGTGCGTTTGCGTGCTACTCTGTTGCCCAGTGATCGTAGGATTCTTGTGGTTAGTTTCGATGTGTTCCTGATGTAAGGTAGCGTGATGAGTGAGTAGGGGCGTGTAGAATACCTCTTCCATGTATTCAAGGACAAGGATATCCAAAAAACTGGGTCAGAAGATGCCTATTACACGAACACCGGGAAGATGCACATTATGGACAGGACCGATGTCATATACAAGATTCCCTGCAGAGACTGTGACAAATACTACATCGGACAAACAAGAAAGAAATTAACAACAATGGTACACGAACACCAATTGGTTACAAAAAGACATGACCAGTACTAACTAATCTCTATCCACATGGATAAGGAGAACCACCAATTCGAGTGGGACAACACCAAGATCCTGAGACAAGCAAAGCAGAGACAAGCACGGAGTTCCTCGAAGCCTGGTACTCCATGAAGAAAGTCATCAACAAACACACAGAATTTGACCCCACAGACACTCCATTGCTAAGGAAAACCGAAAGTGAGGTAATCCAGCTCAACGGACTCCAGAGTTTAAATACCAGGTGGGAAAACATAACGGCGCTTCATCAGAGGCTGCACTGATGATGTTACCCAGCAGGGTAATGAAACGTCTGCAGAACAACAAAGAACCAGCTCGGCGAGCCAACCAACCACATCAACCACATTGCTGTGGGTCTGGAGTCACGTGAAGGCCAGACCGGATAAGGATGGCAGTTTCCTTCCCTAAAGGGCATTCGTGAGCCTGATGGGTTTTTCCACCAATGAACACTGGATTCATGGTCATCATTGGATTCTTAATTCCAGATTATCTGGGTATCTGGATTAACAGTCCAGCAATAATAGCTCTAAGACATCACCTCCCCATGGTGGTGAGCTGCTGCAGTCCACCAGTTGTGGGTTCACCCACAATGCCATTAGGGAGGGAATTTCAGGATTTTGACCCGGCAACAGTGATGGAATGGCGATTATATTTCGAAGTCAGGATGGTGAGTGGCTTGGAGGGGAACTTCGAGCTGGTGGGTGTTCCCGTGTATCTGCTGCCCTTGTCCTTCTAAATGGAAGTGGTCGTGGGTTTGGAAGATCTGAGGATCTTTGGTGAATTTCTGTAGTGCCTCTTTTGGAAAGTACACTCCTGCTACTAAGAATCGGCGGTGGAGAGAGTGGATGCTTCTGGTAGTGCCAATCAAGTGGGCTGCTTTGTCCTGGATGGTGTTAAGCTTCTTGACTGTCATTGGAGTTGGACTCATCCAGGCAAGTGGGGAGTATTTCATCACACTGCTGACTTGTGCCATGTAGATGCTGGACAGGCTTTAGGTATCAGAAGGTGAGTTAGTCGCCACAGTATTCCTAGCTTCTGACCTGCTTTTGTAGCCACTGTTTATGTGGTGAGTCCAGTTGAGTTTCTGGTCTATAATAACCCTAAGGATGTTGATAGTAGGGGATTCAGTGATGGTAACACCATTGAATGTTGAGGGGCGGTAGTTAGGGTGTCTCTTATTGGTGATGGTCATAGCCTGATGTGGCGCATTTGTTACTTGCCACTTGTCAGCCCAAGCTTCGATACTGTCCAGATCTTGTTGCATTTGAACATGGACTGCTTCAGTATCTGAGGAGTTGCGAATGGCATTGAACATTGTGCAATCATTGGTGAACATTCCCACTCTGACCTTATGATGGAGGGAAGGCCATTGATGAAGCAGCTGAAGATGGTTGGGTCTAGGATAGTACCCTGAGGAACTCCTGCAGAGATGTCCGGGAGCTGAGATTACTGACCTCCAACAACTGCCACCGTCTTCCTCAGTGTCATCTATGACTCCAACCAGCAGAGAGTTTGCCCGTGATCCCCATTGATTCCAATGTGGCTCCTTAATGTGGCACTCAATCAAATGCCTTAATGTCAAGGGCTGTTACTCTCATCTCACCTCTGGAATTCAGCTCTTTTGTTCACGATTGAGCCAAAGCTGTAATGAGGTCAGGAGCTGAGTTCCCCGGTGGAACCCAAAGTGGGCATTATTGAACAGGTTATTGCTGAGCACTGTTAATGACATGTTCCGTCACTTTACTGAAGTCCAAGAGTAGACTGATGGGGTGGTAATTGGCTGAGTTGGATTTGTCTTGCTTTTTATATACAGGTCGTACCTGGGCACTTTTCCACATTGTCAGGTAGATGCCAGTGTCGTAACTGTACTGGAACAGCTTGGCTAAGGGAGCGGCAAGTCCTGGAGCACAAGTTTTCAATACTATTGCCTGAATGTCACGGCCTGTAGCCTTTGTGGTATCCAGTGTCTCCAACTCTTGATATCACGTGGAGTGAATCAATTTGGCTGAAGGCTGGCATCTATAATGCTGGGGACTGCTGGAGGAGGCCAGTATGGATAATCCACTCGGCAATTCTGGCCGAAGATTGCTGTAAATACTTCAGCTTTATCTTTTGTGCTGATGTGCTGAGCTCCTGCATCAAGGAGGATGGGGATATTTGTGGAGCCGCCTTCTCCAATGAGTTGTTTAATTGCCCACCACCAGTCACAACTGGATGTGATGGGACTGCAGAGCTTAGATCCGATCGGTTGATTGTGGGATCGTTTAGCTCTATCTATCACTTCCTGCTTATACTATTTGGTGTGCAAGTAGTCCTGTTCAATGGCTTCACCAGCTTGATATCTCATTTTCAGGTATGCCTGGTGCGACTGACATGCCTTCTTGTACACTCCATTGAACCAGGGTTGATCCCCTGGCTTGATAGTAATAGATGCATTATTCAAAATTTATTCATGGGATGAGGGTGTCACTGGCTAGGTAGCATTTATTGCCCATCCCTAACTGCCCAGAGGGCAGTTTAGAGTCAACCACATTGCTGTGAGTCTAGAGTCAGGTGTAGGCCAGACCAGGTAAGGATGGCAGTTTCCTTCCCTGAAGAACATGAGTGAACCTGGTAGATTTTTCCAACAATCAACGATGGATTCGCGGTCATCATTAGCTTCTTAATTCCATGTTTTTTAAATTGAATTCAAATTCCATTGTCTGCCATGGAAGGATTTGAAATTGGGACCCAGAACATTGTCTGGGTCTCTGAATTAATACTCCAGTGGTAATACCACTGGGGGCCTCCTCCACCTCCCACCGCCATCATCATGTGCGGGCTTTGCCGGGCCATGAGGCGGAGGCTGCAATTGTGCTGGAGCACACTTTTGCTGCTGTCAATGTCCAACATCACTTCATGGATTCTCAGTCTTGACTGAATTGTTAGATCTGTTTGAAGTTTCTCCCATTAAGCACTGTGATAGTGCCACACAACACAACAGAAGTTATTCTGAATAAGAAGGATATGACCGGTGGAGTCCTGCGCTGGTCAGGCCTCTCTTTGTTTCACAATTCACTTATCTTGGCAGCTAACACCAAGATAAGTGAGATAGTATATTGCAAAGAAGACATATGGATGTAGCCGACAAATATAGATAGGTTGAGTGAATGAGCAATAATCTGGCAGACGGAATATAACATGGGAAAATGTAATGTTCATTTGGCAGGAAAAATGAAAAATCATGTGGAACAAATGCAGAATTTTGAGGTGCAGGGGAATTTTGGTGTTCTGGTGTGTGAGTCACCAAGTTGGCGTGTAGGTATGGCATGTAATCTAGGAGACTGATGGGAATTGAACATAAAAGGAAGGATCTGAGGCAGGGTCACCGGACCCGAAACGTTAACTCTGTTTTCTCCTCCACAGATGCTGCCAGACCTGCTGAGCTTTTCCAGCAACTTCTGTTTTTGTTCCTGATTTACAGCATCAGCAGTTCTTTTGGTTTTTATTTACTAGATTGATACCTGGAATGAATGGCTTGTCTTATAACAGTAAGTTGGACAATCTAGGCTTGTTTCTGCTGGAGTTTAAATGAGTGAGGGATGATTTGATTGAAATGTATGAGATCCTGAATTCTCTTTAGAGGTAGACGTGCAAGGAACTTTGCCCCACTATTGTTTAAGTGCCAAAGTCCTGGTGAAAATCTTTTCTTTTAAAGAGACAATCAGATGAACTGCACTTAAATTGTTTGCATGAAAATTGGGGCTGCAGTGTCTGGTGACACTGTGGCTTTAAGACATGTATTTTGCTCTGTTTTCTTTATGTAGAGAGGTTGAGACAGAGGCACTGAGCGGTCTGTTCAAATTTAATAAAGTAAACTGCTTGAGAGGTTTTCTTCTTTTGTTAAGAAGTTGGAACAATAGCAACAGCATGAAGAGCTGGGGTAAATCTCCCACAGATTTTGTTTTAGTTTTCAGTAGGTATTGGGTTTGGGAAATTGCTATACATTTTGCCATGCTACAGCAAAACCCTTAAGTTGTCTCAGAATTTTCTTGATGTTCTTTTCTCCTGGACTGGAGAAATGTTGCATTTAAGACCATCTATTTTACTCAATCTGCCTCTGCCAAGAGTGTGTTTATGGGATGCTACAGTCTTGGAACAGCTGCTGTTTTAGTCATTAAACAAACTATTATTCTGTTAAGTTTTCCAACATAGTTAAGTTATTCCAATTTCTTTGTCGAAGATTCTTCCCTCAAGGGAGGTGATGGCGTAGTGGTATTATCTGTTAATACTGTTAATCCAGAGACCCAGATAATGTTCTGGGGACCCAGGTTTGAATCCCGCTATGGCAGATGGTGGAATTTGAATTCAATAAGTATCTGGAAGCAAGAGTCCAATGATGACACTGAATCCACTGTTGATTGTCAGAAAAACCCACCAGGTTCACTAATATTCTTTAGGGAAGGAAACTGCCATCCTTACCTGGTCTGGCCAACATGTGACTCCAGACCCACAGCAATGTGGTTGACTCTGAACTGCCCTCTGGGCAATTTGGGATGGGCAATAAATGCTGCCTCGCCAGCGATGCTCTCGTCCCGTGAATGAATAAAGAAAAAAAATTCTTTGTATTTTAACTGTAGTGTAAGAGTGTAAAGTGTGTTTTGCTTCAGGCCAGATAGTTTGACCAATGGAATTGCATTTGGAATGCAACACCTTACACTTGCCTTTAAAAACAATAAAAATAAAATAGTTGGGGTCTAGGCTATCTTCTTAATGTATTTTGGGGAGGCTTGGTCTAGTCCATAACCAATAATATTGGGTCTCTGAAGCCAGATTTGCTATTCATGGAAGTTGAAGTGCAGGTCTGTTCTGATTGGAAGTTATTACATTCAAAGGTGATTGATACATGACAAGTTAGGATTGCACCCAAAATCAAATACTTCACCACCCTATTTAGATAACTTGCTCATTAAATCTATTTCAAGTGAGGAAATAGTTTATATCATCCTCAATATGCAGTCAATGAATTGCTTTATTTGTACAAGTAAAAACAGCAACTCATTTGTTTTAAAGTAAGGTGATACATACAGCAAGGTGAACATTTGAATTTCTAAGCCATTTCAATGCTTTGCACTGGCTAATGGCCTGTCAAAATGGGGAAATGATGATCAGGACATCAGGTGAACTTTGCTGGTGGATTAATATTATGCAGTTCTTTTAGGTTTGCCTGAACATGCGCACAGGGCATCCAGCTTAATACATTATCCAAAAAGATGGCAGCTCTGTCATTGGAATACTCCCACAAATTGCAAGTTGTACTGAAATGTGAATTGGGGATTGTTCCATTCACTTCCACTTAGGAAGAAATTGGTACGTAACTGGTTGTTAACTGTTCTTTGTTTTCTTTACAGTTAGTTCAGAATCAACTAGGCAAAGAAGACTATCAAGGAAAATAATCGATTACAGGGAGGACTCCCCAGACCGAATTGGCACCAGCAAGAGATTGAAACGAAATTACTACATAGATGAAAAGGTTCTCTCGTTTACACTTAACCTGCAAAAATTCTTGTGCAGAATATGCATTTTGCTCAGTCCATTTCAGAAAAGAGAAAGGTTACAAATAAATAAATGTGCAGCAGTGATGCAAATGTTGAATGCTGGTATTCTTTGTGCTTCTGCATTCTCAGATCAGACTTATCAATCTGCTGAGTTTAAGCAGATCGCAAAATGTCTGAAAAGTAATTAGTAAGGATCCCTCTGGTAGATGCAGCAAAAGAACCCAGCAGTTAATCCCTGTTCATCTGGTAAATTGGTATAATGTGTTTTTTCTCTTGCTGTGCATGGTAAATAAAATTAACTGTATAATCTTACATTTGATAGATTTTCAAACTGAGCACACAGACTCCAAAACTAAAAGCAGCAGGACTGGAGCATTAAAATGATAGTCAACTCAATCTGATTAAATCTGTGTTTGAGCAGATCTTTGAAAATGTCGTCCTGTGTTTGAGCTGTTTCATTCAAGGTCCCATAGCTTGAACATCCACTCATTTGTCATGAATTTGCTATTAGACCACTGGATACCAGTCATGGATATTGAATGAAATGCTAGTTTAGTAGAATAGAATTAATTCCTAACATTGAGGTAAGTTAGAAGGAATTTGATTGGCATTAATTGTCTTTTCCACAACTGATGGAATCATAGGGTAATACAGCGTGGAAACAGGCCCTTCAGCCCAAACTGGTCCATGCTGACCATGGTGCCCATTCAGCAAGTTCCAGTTGCCCGTATTCTGTCCATATCCCTCTAAACTCTTCCCATCCATGTACCTGTCCAAATGTTTTTTAAATGTTGCTATTGTACCTGCCTCAACTATATTCTCTGGCAGCCCATTCCATTTACGCACCATCCTCTGCGTGAGGAAGTTGCCCCTCAGGTCGTTTTTAAATCTATCCCCTCTCATCTTAAACCTATGCCCTCGAGTTTTCAAATCCCCATCCTTGAGAAAAAGACCATATGCATTCATCCTACCTATGCCCCTCATGATTTTATACACCTCAATAAGGTCACCCCTCATTCTCCTACATTGCAAGGAATAAATTCCTATCCGGGCCAACCTCTACCTATAACTGAGGCCGACTAGACCTGGCAACATCCTCGTAAATCTTGTTTGCACACTTTCCAGTTTAACTATGTCTTTCCTGTAACTATAGCCAAAACTGTACACAATACTCCAAGTACGGCCTCATCAACAACTTACACAACTGTAACATAACATTGCAACTCCTATACCAATGCCTTGACCAATGACGGCCAGCATGCTAAATGCCTTCTTCACCACCTGGCCACCACCACCACATCTGTGATCCTGGTTTCAACAAACTACGTACTTGTACTCCAAAGTCCCTCTGTTCCACAACACTCCTCAGGACCTTACCATTTACAGTATAAATGCTACCTTGGTTTGACTTTCCAAAGTGCAATACCTCACACTTATCTGTTGAATTGCATTTGCCAATCCTCAGCCCATGTGTCCATCTGATCAAGATCCCTATGTGACTTTTGGTAACCTTCCTGGTTATCAACGATACCTCCTAATTTTATATCATCCACAAACTTGCGAATCATGCCATGTCCATTCACATCCAGATAATTTATGTATATAACAAATAACCAAGATCCCAGCACCAACCCCTGTGGCACACTATTAGTCACAGGCCTCCAGTCCAAGAAACAACCTTCTACCATCAAGACGATTTTGAATCCAGTCAGCTAGTTCTCCCTTGATCCCATACAACCTAACCTTCACGACTAGCCTGCCGCGCGGGACCTTGTCAAAGGCCTTACTAAAATTCACATAGACAGCATCCACTGCCCTTCCCTCATCTATCCCTTTTGGTTACCTCTTTGGAAGACTCTAAAAGATTTGTCAGACGTGACTTTCCGCGCATAAATTCATGCTGACATTTGAGATTTGATCGGAGAATGCTCGTGGTGTCGGAAACTCGGATAATTTTGAACTTAATTTGTCCCATGGAAACCTGTTGCAAGCTCATTGGACACCTATTTTACCTAGTACTTGATTTTACTTGCTGTTGTACGATTAAAATTCCATCCTGTGCATGAACTTTTGCTTTAGTGTTCCATTCTTCTCATCCTTCATTTTCATTAGGCCGACACTTCAGCTAGAAAATATTGTTTGCCAGCAACTGAGGCAACTTCAGCAGTTTTTTGTTTTGTCTTAATCTATCACCAAAATACTATTGTTCCTTCCAAGAAACGTGTTTTTGATTTGTGTAGAACACTAGTTTTTCTCTGAATAACTCATGCCTTCCATAAAATCCAGACCGGCAAAGCCTGAACATTGTGCTCAGGTCTGAGTTTTCCTACAAGACTTGTACTTGAGAACAAATTAGAACTCGACCTGATACCCCTGAGTTGAAATGTGTTTTTTCTTTCCCCTTTCCTCAAATGTTTCGAGCAGGTGTTCGCTGAAATTTCTTGTAACTTGCAACGTGACACCAAAAAGTTCTTCCTTTCTTCGATTTTGTCTTGATTTCCAATGTGTAATTGATGATTGACCGCCCCCCCCCCCACCCCACCCAAAAAAAAAACTGGACCTCTTTCACTCTTCCCTGTAGTGTTTGGATTTTTAAAACCAAAGTTCACTGTGCATAATGGCTACTGCCTGATCCCCCTCGGTTTCTCTATTCTTGGGATTTGTCCACCTATGTGACTCAATTTTTCAAAAGTTATCCCTACAACATAAAACCAGGCTTGTATTTATTGCTGACCTTGAGTTCAGAAAACATCAAGGTAGGTTGTGAAAATGGGAATAAATTGAATGTAGTATGAGTGAGGGGAAGCTGTGCTTATTTTTTTCAATTTTCTGTATCTTCTGTTGCATCAGCACCTATAACTGATGCTTATGGCAGGTTTTCTTTTGTTAAGTTTGATTCCTAAAATACAGAATGAACCCTGAAAATTGAAAAGTGCACTTCCAATTTAAATTATGGGACAGTGTTAACTTTTCTTCCCTCATCCCAGTTCACAGCACATAATGTAGCTTCTCACATGTATGCCAGTGCCAGCACTGTCTGTATTGTCTATAGGTGTGAGGCTGGAAAAGCACAGCAGGTCAGACAGCATCAAGGAGCAGGAAAGTCCATGTTTCGGACCAAAACCCTTTGTTAGGACTGGGGAGGAGTAGGAGAGCCCAGAAATAAATAGAGGGAGGAGGGTGGGGCTAGGGGAAGGGTAGGAGAGAAGGTGATAGGTGGATGCAGGTAGGGGGTTATTGTGATCAGTCCGTGGGAAGGGTGGAGCAGATAAGTCGATAGAAAGATGGACAGGTAAGGTCAGGTCAGGTGGGGGAGGGCTGGACATTGGATGAGACTGGGGGTGGAGGGATTTTGAAGCTGGTGAAGTCAATGGTGTTGTTCAAGTTTACATTTGGCCTCATTCTGACAGGGGAGGAGACCATGGATGGCCATGTCGTCAGGTGAGTGGGAGGGGGGATTAAAATGGTTGGCAGCCAGAAGGACAGGTTGTTTTGTGCAGAGTGCAGATGTTCCACGAACTGGTCCCCGAGTCTGCGTTTGGTCTCCCCGATATAGACGAGACCACATCAGGAGCAATGGATACAGTAAATAAGGTTGCATGAAGTGCAAGTGAATCTCTGCTGGATCGAGAAGGATTGTTTCGGGCCTTGGACAGTGGTTGAGAGGGGAGGTTTGGGGGCAGGTGTTGCACCTCTTGCAGTTGCAGTGACAGATAGCAGGTATGGTGGAGGATTTGGAGAGTGTAGAGCTGACGAGGAGTCACGGAATGAATGGTCCCTGTGGAAAGCGGGCAAGGGAAATATCTTTATGGTGGCGTCTGTTTGTAGGTGGCGGAAATGTTGAAGGATGATGTTTTAGGGGCAAGACAGTGGCTCAGTGGTTAGCACTGTACACCTCACAGCACCAGGGATCCAGGTTCGATTCCCACCTCGGGCGACTGTGTGGAGTTTGCACATTCTCCCTGTGTGGGATTTTTGCCGAGTGCTCTGGTTTCCTTGCACAATCCAAAGATGTGCAGGCTAGGTGGATTGGCCATGCTAAATTGCCCATTGTGTTCAGGGATGTGTAAATTAGGTGGGTCACAGGGAAACTGGGTAGGTTGAAGGGTCTGGATGGGATGCTGTTCAGTGGTTTGGTGTGGACTTGTGGGCTGAAGGGCCTGTTTCCACACTCTAGGATTCTGTGATCCGGAGGTTGGTGGAGTGGTACATGAGGACGAAGGGGATTCTATCCTTCTTGATGTTGGTGGGAGGGATTTGAGGGCACAAGTGCGGGAAATAGAGGAGATGCAGTTGAGGGCATCCTTAATTACAGAGGAGGGGGAATTACGGTCCGTAAAGTAGATACTATCTGGGATGTCCTGGATTGCGACACCTCATCCTGGGAGCAGGTGCGATGGAAGGGGAGGAATTGGACGTATGGGATAGCATTTTTGCAGGAGGGTGGGTGAGAGGAGGTGTATTTGAGGTAGTCGTGGGAGTCAGTGGGTTTGAAATTGTCAGCCAGCACAAGCATACTGAACAAAAAATTGATTTGCCAAAAATATCTGCGCTATCTTTTTGCATGTCGAGTGAAGAGGTGAATGAGATTGAATGGTCATTCACGTATTTTGATTTGGTTGCCAGTGCTCAATAATTTTGCTGTTTATGATTTTCATAAAATTCAAATGAAGTGATATGGTTGGGGAACTTTTGCTAAATTATTTTATTTGAGAGCCAGTTCCTCCCCCCTCAAGTTTGCATCTATATCTGAATGCTCGAAACATTATTAACATGGACCACCTATAATTATGCAGTAGAATTTGTATATTCCGTGTGACAGTTTAACTTGCTTCCTTTGAGGATTGTACTAAGTCTTGTGCACCTCATAGAATCCCTACAAAGTGGAAACAGGCCCTTCAGCCCAACAAGTCCACACTGACCCTCGGAGCTTCCCACCCAGACCCATCCCCCTATGACCCACCTAATCTACACATCTCTGAACACTACGGGCAATTTTAGCATGGCCAATCCACCTAACCTGCTCATCTTTGGACTGTGGGAGGAAACCAGAGCACCTGGAGGAAACCCACGCAGACGTAGGGAGAATATACAAACTCCACACAGACAGTTACCCGAGGCAGGACTCAAACCCGGGTCCCAGACACTGTGAGGCAGCAGTGCTAACCACTGAGCTACCATACCGCCCTAAGAAGTAAGTGTATTCAAATGTTCTTCTTTGATGCAGGAGTATTTAACACTGTTTATTATCTTTTATGGACAGTATGAGTTAAACGATGCTGATCAGGCAGAGGCATGTGGAGGTGATGGTGTTGAAGCTGAAGAAACATCTTATGTTACTAATGCATCCCGAAACAGCCAGTCAGGTAAAGATTTAACTTCTAGTTTAATTCTGTTAGTCAGGATTCGTTTGATGACCCTATTTTAATATGAATTTTAATTCATACCCTGAAATGGTGAAGTTGTGCTTGCAAAACTGTGGCTCAAAAGGGAATGGGGGAGAATGGGAGAGCGATAGTGGTAGGAGGTTCTGTGATCGTGACTGAGACTCCCAGATGGTAGTTGCCTCCTGGGTCCCAGGGTCAGGGATGTCTCTGAGTCTACAGGATTCTTAAGGGGGAGGGTAAGCAGTCAGTGGTACACATCGCTACCAATGACATAGCTAGGAAAAGAGTTGAGAACCTGAAAAGTGAATATAGGGTGTTAGGTTGGAAGCTAAAAGGCAGGACAAGCAGAGTAGTAATCTCCGGATTATTACCAGTGCCACAGGCTAGTGAGGCTAGGAATAGAACGCGAGTGCTGCTAAACACGTGGCTACAGAGCTGGTATAGGAGGGAGGGCTTCAGATATGTGGATCATTGGGATACTTTGAGGAAGGTGGGACCTGTACAAGAGGAATGGTTGCGCCTGAACTGGAGGGGCACCGATATCCTGGGCAGGAGTTTTGCTAGAGCTCTTCGGGAGTGTTTAAGCTAGTTTGGCAGGGGGATGGGAACCCGAGCTACGGATCAGAGGATAGGGTAGTTGGTGCACAGGCAGATACAGCATGCAGAGTCTCTGAGGAAAGATAGACAGTTGATAGGGCAAAGTTGTAGTCAGTGTGACAGATTGAAGTATGTCTATGTTAATGCAAGAAGTGTCAGGAATAAGGGTGATGAACTTAGAGCATGGATCAGTACTTTGAGCTATGATGTTGTGGCCATTACGGAGACTTGGATAACATGGGCAAGAATGGCAGTTGGATGTTCCAGGGTTTAGATGTTTCAAAAGAAATAGGGAGAGAGGTAAAAAAGGTGGGGGGCTGGGTAAAAAAGGTGCTAAACAGGGATGGTATCACAGCTGCTGAAAGGGAGGTCGTTAAGGAGGGTTTATCTACTGAGTCAGTATGTGTGGAAATCAAATGGGAAAGGAGCAGTCACTTCATTGGGAGTTTTTTGTAGACCCTGCAATAGCAACAGAGAGATTGAGGAACAGATTGGGAGGCAGATCAACTTCCCTGATTTCGACTGGAACCTCCTTAGTGCAAATAGTTTGGATGGAGTAGATTTTGCCAGGTGTGTCCAGAAGGATTCCTGACTCAGTATGTAGATAGGCTGACTCGAGGGGAGGGCATATTGGATTTAGTGCTTGGCAATGAACCAGGCCAGGTGTCAGATCTCTGTGGGAGAGCATTTCAGTGATAGAAATCACAACTTCCTGACTTTTACTATAGCCATGGAGAGGGATAGGAGCAGATGGTATGGGAAAATATTTAATTAGGGGAGGGGGAATTACAATGCTATTAGGCAAGAACTGCGGAGCATAAATTGGGAACAGATGTTCTCCGGGAAATGCATGACAGAAATGTGGAGGTTGTTTAGGGAGCACTTGCTATGAGTACTGGATCGGTCTGTCCCACTGAGGCAAGGAAGGGGTGGTAAGGTGAAGGAACCTTGGATGACAAGACATGTGGAACATCTCGTCAAGAGGAAGAAGGAAGCCTACTTAAGGTTGAGGAAGCAAGGATTGGACAAGGCTCTAGAGGGTTACAAGGTAGCCAGGAAGGAACTGAAGAATTGACTGAGGAGAGCTAGAACGGGGTCTGGCGGGTAGGATCAAGGAAAACCCCAAGGCGTTCTATAGTTATGTGAGGAACATGAGGATTGCCAGGGGCCGATCAGGGATAGTGGATGGAACTTGTGCATGGAGTCGGAGGAAGTAGGGGAGGTCCTTAATGAATAGTTTGCTTTGGTATTCACCAGTGAGAGAGACCTTGTAGTTTGTGAGGACAGCGTTAAACAGGCTGATATGCTCGAACAGGTTGATGTTAGGAAGGAGGAGGTGCGAGAAATTCTGAAAAACATGAGGATAGATAAGTCCCCTGGGCCAGATAGGCTATACCCAAGGTTATGACGGGAAGCGAGAGAAGAGATTGCTGCCCCTTTGGCGATGATCTTTGCGTCCTCACTGTCCATTGGAGTACTTCCAGATGATTGGAGGGTGGAAAATATCATTCCTTTATTCAAGAAAGGGAATAGGGATAATCTTAGAATTACAGACCAGTCAGTCTTTCTTTTGTGATAACAAGGTGTAGAGCTGGATAAGTACAGCAGGCCAAGCAGCATCAGAGGAGCAGGAAAGCTGACATTTCGGATCTAGACCCTTCTTCAGAAATGGGGGAGGGGAAGGGGTTTCTGAAATAAATAGGGAGAGAGGGGGAGGCGGATAAAAGATGGATAAAGGAGAAGATAGGTGGAGAGGAGACAGACAGGTACAAGAGGGTTGCAGAGGGAGAGAGATCCACTGAGGCTTTTCCGGAGGGAGGAGGGTAACTTCTTCAAGGTAGGCATCCTTAGAAGAGGCTTCGCAGTGGGGTTATTTGTGGTGGGCAGGTTATTGGTGAGGATTCCGAGAGTATTTATGATTATTTGGAAAAGCACAGTTTGATTAGAAATAGTCAGCATGGCTTTGTGAGGGGCAGGTCATGCCTCACCAGCCTTATTGAATTCTTTGAGGATGTGACAAAACACATTAATGAAGGTAGAGCAGTGGATGTGGTGTATGTGGATTTTAGCAAGGCATTTGATAAGGTTCCTCATGGTAGGCTCGTTCAGAAAGGAGGCATGGGACCCAGGGAAATTTAGCTGTCTGGATACAGAATTGGCTGTCCAATAGAAGACAGAGGGTGGTAGTAGATGGAAAATATTCAGCCTGGAGCTCGGTGACCGGTGGTGTTCCGCAGGGATCTGTTCTGAGACCTCTGCTCTTTTTGTGATCTTTATAAATGACTTGGATGAGGAAATGGAAGGATGGGTTAGTAAGTTAGCCGATGACACAAAGGCTGGTGGAGTTGTGGATTGTGTCAAGGGCTGTTGTGGGTTGTTGTAGGTTGCAACGGGACATTGACAGGATGCAGAGCTGGGCAAAGAAGTGGCAGATGGAATTCAACCCAGAAAAGTGTGATGTGATTCATCTTAGAAGGTCGAATTTGAATTAGGAATACAGAGTTAATGGCAGGATTCTTGGCAGTGTGGAGGAACAGAGGGATCTTGGGGTCCACGTCCATAGATCCCTCAAAGTTGCCACCCAAGTTGATAGGGTTGTAAAGAAGGCGTATGGTGTGTTGGCTGTCATTGGCAAGGGAATTGAGTTTAAGAGCCACGAGGTTATGCTGCAGCTGTATAAAACCCTGGTTAGACCACACTTGGAATATCATTTTCAGTTCTGGTCACCTCATATTATAGGAAGGATGTGGAAGCTTTAGAGAGGGTGCAGAGGAGATTTGCCAGGGTGCTGCCTGGACTGGAGGGCAAGCCTTATGAGGAAAGCTAGGGCTTTACTTATTGGAGCAAAAAAGGATGAGAGGTGACTTGATAGAGGTGTAGATAGAGTGGATAGCCAGAGACTTTTTCCCAGGGCAGAAATGACTATTACGAGGGAGTATAATTTTAAGGTGATTGGAGGAAGGTATAGGGGAGATGTCAAAGGTAGGTTCTTTACGTAGAGAATGGTGGGTGCGTGGAATGCGCTGCCGGCTGCGGTAGTGGAGTCAGATACATTAGGGACATTTAAGCAACTCTTGGATAGCATACGGATGATAGTCGGCACATCGTGGGCCGAAGGGCCTGTACTGTGCTGTACTGTTCTATGTTCTACGTAAAATATTTTCTACAAGAAACCATTGTATCAAATGTTTATTTTCATGCACTTTTTCAGATATAAGCAAACTTTCTGATGCATGTAAACCACTGAAAAAGCGAAACAGAGCATCAACAGCAGAAACTCTGATACCAGCTGTCAGCAAGAATCCATCTCCTTTAACTGTATTTACAGAAAATGAGGTAATTTTAAAAGGGAAACAGTGACTGAATTGATTTCAGTCATGCATCTCCATAACCAAAGAGAAAAGTGACTTTGAAGTATCGAAAAGCTTCGAAACTGTGGAGATGGGACTGTACAGTATTTACCAGCAGACAGACATTTTGAAGGCTGTACTCGATTACTGATAAGTATCAGTTTGCTTTGATATGGTACTAGCCTAATAGATTGCTGCTGTACAGTTCCACACAGCATATTACTAATGAGGCAGATCATTAAAGGCTTTAGCAGTTTTCCTGTCAACTGTCTCTTTCTCCTGAAACTCTTTTTGTCGTCATCTATTCTATTTCCTGTGTGTTTATTGCATTCACAATTTTGTTGGCATTTATAGGCCAAAACAGGATTAGCTGTTTGGCAGAAATTTCAGGCTTCTGGAAGGGAATTCAGACCTGCACTGGGGGATAAGTAAAAGGAAGATATTTGGAGAAAGTGTGACTAAAGTTCAGATTTTTCTGAAACTACAGCTTTTTTTAAACAAACTGCATGAACCACATTTTGAGTGAAAGGGAGCAGGAAATGCATCATTAGATGTCAAGATGCAAGATGATGTTGAGGAAAAATGAAATCTCAAGGAAAGGAACTCATAAAAATATAAATGGAATACAGCGCTTGATTCAGTTTGTAGGAGGGTGCAATGCTAAACCTTTTAATTTGTGCAAAACCTTAGTTTGCCCCATTTGAAATTTTGCATTGGTATTCTGGCTGTTGTCTTAACAGTGTGTAAACTTTGTGTCACATCAAGGAGATAGTACCAGGGGGAATCATTTTCAAAACTGAGACTTGCATCAGTAGAGCTGATAGATTAAGGGATGATTTGATCGAAATCTTTAGGATTATGAAGTGCTACTGGAGGTTGCAACAAGGGTATTAATTAAAAATGATCGCAAGAAAAATTAATGGATAGGTTAGGGAAAACAATTTCATGAAGATGGTTAACATCTGGAATTATCAATTTGACTTTTTTTGAAGGAGTAGATGGTTGTATGAAAAGTGAGAGGTATTACGGTCATGGGGAGTAACTAAAATAAATGAAGGGCGAATTTTTTTTTTGTTTTCTGTATCATTCAGCAAATATGGGCTTTGCTGACTAGACATACATTCATTGCCTTTGGTGATGGTGAACTGGTACAAGTATGATGCGCTAGTTTTTCTGTTGTAACAAATTATCAGACCTGTCTGCTTTTGGGTGTTTTTATCATGACTGCTTTTTGCATAACATCCCAATTTAGAAAAAAATTATTCCAAACTTACATTGCAGAAAATGGGAATTGGAGTAAATGATTCCACGCATTATCCAGATTTTATTTTATTTTGTTGACAGATATTCCCACTGAGTTGCCGACTTGAAACCATTTTAGTTCTTTTAAATTGCTTGTTTAATCTAATTCAAATTAACTTATTTGAAAGTACATTATGATGGCAAAGCTCTGCTTTAAAGTGTCTGTTTAGCTTTGATGGGTTTATTGCTTTAAGTATTAATCAGTGTATTGTTGTGATATATGTAAGTGCAAAATATTGTTTCTAGCTAAATCGCATTGATTTCTTTCGTCACTATTTCAGTCGTGAAGGGATGTTTGCAAGAAAATGGAATTTGATTTTGTAAGATTCAGAATTCATGTGGGACCCATAAGACCATTCCATTTTACAAGTGCACTTGAGCCTCTAACAATCTTGGCTGCTTTGTTTCATTAATACTTTAGTCATTTTAGTTTACATGGATATTTTATTTGCTATCTAATCAACAGAACCTGCTTTAGAAAGCTTACTGACTTGCCTTAAATTGAGTTCCATGCACAAATTATGATAAGGTGTTTCCCATACATTGTACCTGACTAGACATTCAAATGGTTGACCTGGTAGGAGACCATTGATAACTTTCCAAAAACCTGATGTTGTGAAAAAGCTACCCTTGTACACATTTCTGTTGAGGAAAGTATCTTCGATCACTTGCTTCAAGCTCAATCTTGTTGAGGACTGCATGTATTCTTTGTGCAGTATTTTATGTTGTCAGCACCTATTTTCTCTTGTGCTGCCTGTTAATCTGCTGAATTAAATAATTTTTAATCTTTCATGCTTGTGTACTGAAACTTTGGAAATGCATTGCAATTGCTATTGTATAAATTCCCCAATAGTAGCATGAGCTCAGCTGGTCATTTGATACTGCTCTTGTAGATTTGTAATAAATGGTAATTGTAGTAGATGAATCTCACTTTAGGTTGCTACATCATTATGGCTAATTACATTAAAATATAATTTTGTGTTTTACCCCTTGTGTTCAGACATCATTTGATGGACAGCTGGAGTCAGCAGATGAAAGTGCAGATGAAACTCCAACAGAGGCTTCATCTGTTTCATCCAAAAAATCCCAAGGAGAGCGAGGAGGCAATGGTACAGCTAAGAAAGAAGGAGTTTGTCAGGTGAGACGAACTTCAAGTATGCATACAGTACAAAGAAATAGAGCTGTTCAGTCACGTGATCAATTTATTTCATGAGCAAGAAAGAAAATATAAAATCATGAGTACTGCAGATGTGACTGCATTCCATCTGTCTTTCTGACTTGTGATAAAAACTATTGATCGCTGGATATTTTTCTTATGTGCTTGACTTACGAATAAAGAAACTGGCTCCCTATTTGTGTGCGTTTTAATTTTTTTTATATTTAGATAGTGATATGGGTACCTTCACTCACGTGATGATCTAATATCTGAAGAGTTTGAAGATACTTCACAGTGTGGTTCTTGCAGAATTAAAGTACACTTTCTGTATGTTCATCTACAGTTGGTGGCTTATCGGTTTATACATTTAATGTGGATTGAACACGGCACTACTTGTTTATGGCTTAAAAGCGCATTTTCTCCCACATTAAATTACAAATGAAGAATGTAAACCAAGTCATTTCAATCATGGAGCAGAAACAATCTAAAGTTCTGGATTTCTTTGTTAAGCAGCATCTCACACAAGTAATTGCCGTTATATTGGCTGGTTTATGCACATTGCACTGAATGATATCACAAGGAAACAATGTTGAGTGATTGTTGCATATTTACCAAATGTCATTTGCACTTTATGACAGAGATGTTCTGTTTGTTTGGGTTAACCTTGCCTGTGTCAAGGATTTTAATATGCCTCCTTTTTCTGGAGCCAATCTTTGACAAGAAACATCTATAGTGTATGAAGGATAATTAAATGTAATGTAAAGTGGCTTACTTCCCTTCAGCATACTGAAGTAATGTACCACTTCCTAAATTAATCTCCACATATCAGAATTTTAGTGTTTTGCATAATCATCTAGTCAAGTTTGAGCTCATTAGCTTTGGGTGTATGCATTTGTTAAGCTTGTGTGGACATGTATTTAACATTTGTGGGACATTATTTGTAAAAACAACAATGTGAATTAACATCAAACTATCAACACTTATTAATATCAATAAGTAAGTTTCTTAGCTGTTTGAACAATGAGAGGGCAATGGATTCCTTGTTGGTCTCCTTGCTTATCCTCTTCTGCCTTGTCTTCTCTTGTTGAAAAGAACTGAAGATTGCCACGTGGGGTTACTATATTTGGGCACGGGAAGGGGGCGGTGGTGTGGTTCTGGCTGAGTCTCTTAAAGGGACAGGCGTCCCTAGTGATTTTCCTGTTGGTATGCTGACCTCTCCCAAGGTATGTGGAGGACTTCAAATCTTCATTTGAAGAATGAGGAATACTGCACCTAAAGGTGAGCAATCTGTCTTTCTTCTTGGTCTATACAATTTTTTTAAAAAACTTAAGTGATTCTGCAGTTGAGATGCAGTATAGAGAAAGTGATCTTTTCATTTCTCAGTGACGTTCCTGTATTTTCTGTATCAACATTTGAATAATTTAGGAGCAGTATACAATACACATTTCAGTCAGAACTAAACTTTTGCATAATTTGAGGCTTTGTATTTCGAAATAAAGATTTTGGATCGTTTGTTAACATTTTTTCCACAGGCTGATGCATGACTTTTCTTCTGTTTGTAGATGTGCGAGAACTCCGGTGAACTGCTCCTTTGTGAAGGACAGTGTTGTGGGACATTCCACTTGGCTTGTCTTGGGCTGTCTAAGTTCCCTCAAGGCAAATTTATGTGCAGAGAATGCACATCAGGTAATGTATTTTCATTTATGCTGTTGAAGCCGGTCCCTTCTTAAAATGAATTGTGAGGTTGACAGCACGATTCTCTTTGGATTATAAACTTAAATCTATGCAGTTCAATTCAAATTACTTTTGAAATGTGCCTCAAATTCCAAACAATCACAAGTTGTAAAATATTCAACTAATTTTATTTAAAAATAAAATGAGTAAAATGGTTGACTAAGTCTTGACATCCATGGGAATGTTATTCAGTTTGATTGTGTTCTTTTACACTTGCTAAAATTAAACTGCTAACAGTTCTATAAAACTAATACTGCGGACGCTGGAAATTTGAAACAAATGCAGAGAATGCTGGAGAAATTCCGACTCTAGCCGCATCTATGGGGAGAGAAGTAGCATTAACATTGCAATTCCAAAATGACTGTTAAGGTCTGAAGTTCAGTTCTGAAAAAGAATCTTATTGATTTTTGAGACATTAATTCTATTCCTCTTTGCACAGATGCTGCCAAACCTGCTGAGTTTCTCCTGCATTTCATCTTTTTCATTACAATTAGTAGTTTATTCTGCATATGGTTCAAGTAGTAGTTTTCAGTTTTGTAAATGCACTTTGCTTGAATCCTCTACATGCATTGATTATTCAAAATGCTTCCATGCTGCATAATTGCCACCTCAGTTCTTCAATAATACACACTTCGCTGCCAAACTTACTTTGCCAAAATGATGTTTATTTCAACACAGACAACTGTTTGTTTGTTTTAAAAAGGATATAGTTCAATAATCACAGCAAACAAAATAGAGCAACAAGATGATGTAAGCTTTGGAGAGTTGAAGAGCTGGATTTTGCCATAAAGTGACTCCACAAACAGTTTAAGCATTATCTTCATCATAGATTATTTGTTTTTCTTAAACTTATCTGCAGTCTTTTCTTTTACCTTCACACCTATCACGTGAAGTATAAGAGCTTGAGTTTCTATTATAGTCATAAGGATATACAGCATGGAAACAGACCCTTGGGTCCAACTCATCCATGTCGATCAGATATCCTAAATTAATCTAATCCCATTTGCTGTTATTTGGCCCATATCCCTCTAAACCCTTCCTATTCATACACCTCGAGACAACAAGGTGGATGAACACAGCAGGCCAAGCAGCATCATAGGAGCAGAGAGGCTGACGTTTCGGGCCTAGACCCTTCATCAGAAAAGGGGGAGGGGAAGGGGGCTCTGAAATAAATAGGGAGAGAGGGGGAGGCGGATAGAAGATGGATAGAGGAGAGGATAGGTGGAGAGGAAACAAACAGGTCGAAGAGGCGGGGATGGGGCCAGTAAAGGTGAGTGTAGGTGGGGAGTTAGGGAGGGGATAGGTCAGTCCAGGGAGGACGGACAGGTCAAGGGGGCGGGATGAGGTTAGTCGGTAGGAGATGGAGGTGCGGCTTGAGGTGGGAGGAGGGGATAGGTGGGGGGAAGAACAGG